GGGAAAGAGCCACTGAAATGAGAGCGAATGATATAGCCACTTCCAGCAGAAGTGCAGCTGTTTTTCCAAGCCAGGCCCTAGAAGCTTGTTAGTCCGGCAATTTTTGATCATTCTCGTTTTGATTTAATCCTGCTTTCCCCTCAACATCTTAATAAGCCATGTTGACTGCAAAGAACAGCTCCTCCTATGCCTCTGAGCCTCTACAGTATGAATTAAGCGGTGAAACAGGAGCGCAGGAGCTTGCTGGAATTAAAGTCTTTCACCTGGGATTTTCAAGCAGGCCAAGTGTGGGGCCGTGTTTGGAGGGGACTGGAAGGTGATACCAGACTTGCCCAGAGCTGTTTCCTAGACCTAGTCTTTCCAAGGGCTGTGTAACACTTCCCAGTGCAGTCCCCTCTCCTACCCAGGGTGGCTTTGGACACTTGGTGGCAATCCTACAGGTTATAATGGTGCATCCACAGCTGTGAATCCCATGTGCAACTTGGCCTAGCTCCTTTCAACTTGCCTACACTGCCTCCTACCCCTCCCCGACCCCCCTGCATTAGATTTGTGTGTCCCTCTGGTTCAGGCACGCACGCGTCGCACACGTATACACCCCTCTCTGAAAAGCCCCTGCTAATCTGGCAGGGGAAAACATGCCAGAGCCCCACCGAACATATGGGGCAACCTGTAGCAAACGGCTGTGTGCTAATGCCATGCTGGGCTGGCTTCCTAAATCCTGCAGGAAATTGGTATGATTATCGCGCACTCCCAACAAGCAGGCTGCAAACTCGGAGAGTTGAGCCCAGACAAAGGGGCAGGCTTGGAGGGAGGGATTTCTCCCAGCCTCTCATCCCCCCCCTCCATATTCCTCCATTTCACACACCGATCAAGCTGAAATGAGATTAATGCAGCACTTACCTCCATCCGAGTAGGTCTCTGTGCCGTAGCCATCCTGTAATCCATTGCTCCAGGTGCCTTCATATTTGGCCCCGTTGCCAGTGCATTCTCGGAGCCCGTACCGTCCCTTAAATCCATGGGTCCACTCTCCTTTGTACACCCACTTCCCCTTGCTCTCCACGCCAATGCCATGGCGCTTGCCCTGCGCCCAGGTGCCCTGGTAAGTGTTGCCACTGGGCCAGGTGTAGACCCCCAGCACCTCAAAGCCGTGACTCCAGGATCCTGAATACTCGCCTTGACCCTTCGGGCCGGTACAGATTCCATGGCCGTGAGCCTTTCCGTCCTCCCATCCTCCACAGTAAGACCCTCCATCGTCAAAATTAAACCTTCCCCCACTGGACATGCATGTAATTCGGTTTGCAAATCCCCCAAAAGATGAACCAAAAAAAAAAAAAAAAAAAAGCAGCAAAATAAAAACTGCACCAGGATTGGAAGAAAAACAAAATAAAGCCGAATCTAAATCATGCACCGGAGGCAGGGAGCTGCTTGAGTCAGTTGTTCACGATTATTCATTCTCTGGGAGTATGTTCAGGATCAGTGCCTCCTTCTCCTGCTGTGGAAACAGTATCACACACACACACACACACACACACACACACTCGTGCGTGCACACACAAAAAAATAGCAGCAAGAATAACGGCAGCTCGAGGGTTTTGGTGCAAACGACTCCACCTAAAACCATCCAAGGCAGAGCCTGGGGAAGGGAAGGGGGTGGGGGAAGGAGGCCCAATGCCAACCGAATTTACAAAAATAATAATACGCTTAAAAAAGAAAAAAAATCCCTGGTTCAGAAAAAAAAAATGCCAAGCTGTGACCTCCACCTGGGGCTGCCTTGCTGCTGGTATAGACTCGACCGCCCCAGCCCTAGCAAAAGCAGCAAGAGCAGCAGCATATTGGGGGCTGTGTTTCCTGGAGACTCGTGGATCAGCAGCAATGCAGTGTCTGTGTCTCTCTATCTGTCTCCCTCTCTCTCTCAGTCTCACGCACTCCCTCTCTCTCCCTCGCTCACCAACACACACGCACACACGCGCACCCCTCACCCTAGAAAACAACTGATCTGATTTTATTTCTTCCCCCGGCAAACCTCACTCCATTAGGTCTCCGCTTGGTTTTTGGAATAAGTCCCACATCTTGGCTCAGAGAGATGCTCTTTGGGAGGCTTTGATCAGGACTGTCAAAGAAAGGATGGGGGAGGAGGAGGATCTGGAAAGAAGGGGTCCTTTTTTTTTTTTTCCTCCTTTTTTTTTTTATCTCCAGTCTGAGGCAAAAAGGGGTCCTCCTGCTGCCCCCTTTCGTCCTGCAGTGCCCCCTCCCCGTCTTCCTGTCTTCCTAACGGGTTTAAATCTTGCTTATTAAGGAGAACAGATCCTGGGCTCTCAGCTCAGCTCCTTGCTCAGCTTGGATTTAAAGAGACAGGAACTGCGTAATGTGGAGACTCCCCGAACAGAGCTCTACCACCTCCTCGGAGATAGGAGGCTAATCTCAGACAAACAGGCCATAGGGTTAGCCTTCAGCACCATGCATTTTAATGGTAGGCTGGAAACTATCAGCACGGAGAGGAGGGATTTCCAAGACGAAGGCAAGCCAGAGGGCTTGCTCCATTTATTTATTTTTGTCCCCCCTCCTCCCTGCTTTAATCCCACTGTCTCCGGTCTCATGGTTTTTATTACAGGCTCAGCTGTTTGCAGGAAAGGGGAGAGGGGTCTTCTTTGCATGCATTGTTTAACATCACGGGAAAGTCTTTGGGGCAGGGTGCTGCTTCTACCTGGCCCAGCACCCTGCTGTTGCAAAGCCCATTCATGTACGGTTCATTATTATGATTCATTATTGGGGTTTTGTGCATGTGCCTCACTGTAACTCCTCGACCCCTGCCACTGAATTCATGCTAAAGTTGTCTTTCCCCTGGATCCCACTTCATTTCAGCAATATCCCTTTGTGGCAGGGCGCTTGGTGCTCCTGCTACTTTAAAAGAAGGCTGGCTGCAGGTGAAGCAGAGGGCAATCCAGGGAGCCACGTGACTCAAAAGGGGCCAGGCTTGCAGGATATAAGCCCAGGGTTTGAGTTGGGCAGGCGGTCTAGCCCTGGGGTTAGGGAGCTCCTGCACAGGAGGGTTGCCGCAAGACTCCTGGCTAGCACTTGAGCTGGGGTAGGCAAGACCAGTGGTTCAGGGGTTGAGGCCATAGGGGTGGTGGAGGTCTCTCAACTGGCCCAGGAGTGCAGGGTCCAAGGCATGGGGCCAAGGCTGAGGACCAGGGCCACAGCCATTGAGTGATGAGAGCAGGTAGGGCTAGGGACCCACAGCCCACGAGGGGCGAGAACAACCAGAGCCAGGAACCTGCAGCCCATGAAGGGCCGAGTCTATTGGAGGTAATGAGGCCTGAGCCCAGGAGAAGAGAGGTCTGGGCCCAGGAGGGGCAGAGAATGCAGGCCTAAACCCAAGAGAAACTGAGATTGTACCAGGTGCAGAGGCCCAAGCCCAGGAGGGGCCAGGACAGTTAAAGCCACTGGGGCCAGAGGCACCAGTAATGGCAGGGATCCCATGCACGTGCCTGGATGGATGCATCATGTTTTCACCTCATCCTGATTTGATCCAAGATGTCCAATCTTAGCTTAGATCCAAGGGCACTGTTCAACATGCACTCATTTTAAGCTTGAATTAAACTTTAAGCACGTGCTTAGCATGTGTTGAAATGAAATACATGTTTAGTGTGGATTCACTGCCGAACAGGGTACCTGAATCTGTAACTGCTCAAATTTGGGGAGGTTCCAAATGTTGGATTGAGAGACATCTATATCGGTATTTAGCATACCTATCCACTGAAATACATTAGCCTTAGATAGTAATATATTTTAATATATATGTTAGTGTATAACTGTGTATACGTGCATGTGTGTATATCAAGCAGTGAGACAAAAGGATGCAACTGGAGCAGTTGGAATATTTTCTGTTGAGATCTTTTTTAATAGAAAATCTTTTCTATTAAATTAAAACTCTCATTAAAGAAGTGCCTGTTTCACCAATGAGTTTTCATTTTAAAAAGGGGAAAAAATGCAATCTGAAAGTTTTCAGGTTTCAGTAGCAATCAAAAATGTCATTTTATATATATATATATATATATATATATTTAAGAAAACCACAAGAAGAGGGAAAATGATCATTTAAATTTGTGTCCAGACTTTTTGCTAGAAAACACATTCATGTCTGTCCAGCTGTAGATACAATACGAAAGCAGAGTGATGGCTGGCAAGCATCAGAGCTCTTCTCTTTTCCCTCTAGATGGTTTAAAGCATCTTCCCTGTATTTCACATGGCAATTATCATGTGAATATGATAATGTATTTCACATGGCTTTGAATATGACCAACCCCCATTCAAAGGAGTCTGGCACTGTATAGAAACCAACTTCCAGTGCACGCTGGAAGCCATGTCTGGCCCATCCACTGAGGAAGTTTGCTCTGAACAAAATATCAATGATGCTTACAATAAAAAAGCAAGCATGGAATGAAACCTTGTAAAAAATATCAGGACAGACTTTCTTTTACAACACTCTGGAGACCTGGCTGAGGGGTGAGTGGTCGTCTTAGTAGCCAGGTGATTTGGCCTGGGTTAGGTTTGTAAAGCATGTATTGTTTTAGGCAAAGCACCACAGAATCATAGCATCAGGGAAAATGAGGGTTGGACAGGATCTCAGGAGGTCACATCTAGGCCAACCCCCTGCTCCAAGCTACACCATGCCATCTTCAAAGCTATACCATGCAATATTCAACATATACCACACCATCTTCAAAGAAACAGGCAGCTCCTGCAGTGAAGAATATCCCTGACTGATTCATTATTTCATTATGGATTGATTTAAATTTGATGAACCTTGTGTCTCGGTCTGCATGGGTCCTTAGGGCCCTGTGTGGCTGTGGTGTGCAGGAGGGGCCTCCTCGCAGACCCGTTTGCACAAACACTTGTTACCCGGCTGTCTGTGATAATGTGACCCAGGCGTCTCTTTCCAGTCCTATGTCCCTCCGCTGTGTTTGGTACTTGATGGGGTGGGGGTTGCATTTCAGTATTAAAGAGCCATATAATCCCCTCTCAGAGCCAGGTGTTTCCAAAGTGCTCAACACCCAGAGTCACAGCCAAGATTTAAGAAGCCCACAGAGTCTATTTAGGCACCAAAGTGGCGAAAGAGCTGAGCCCCGCTGGTGCATCCCTGGCACTGCTGTCTTTGTATCAGCCGTCCTCACCTGAGCACTTGGAGACCTGGCCCGAGATGCTCCTGTGGAAAGGGGCAGAAAAACTGCTCCTTTTGGGCTTGTACCTGTGCCCCACAACATCCACCCCATCCTTAAGCCTTGGGAAATGTCCCCCTGTGTGCCACCGCCCAGCATCCATGTGCACCATCTCCCATTCAAAACACCCTAGGGAGATTTGGCAGTGGATTACACGGTAGGTCCCGGGGATGATCTGCACCTTTCCTGGGGCTTCCCAGGAGATTGCTTAGGCAGTTAAGAGACCCTCCATAGAGCACGAGATGCAGTGGCCATGCATCTGTCCCCCTCGCTTTAGTTTTCTCGCAGCAGGGTTCGCTCTTCTCCAAAATCTGCTCATCTCCACGAAGCATTCCTCCGTGCTTTCACCCTGCCTCCCCCGGGGTTCCCTGTGGCTCCATTCTCGTTCATCCATTAGTTCAGTGCTTCAGAAACATTTACCAGCATCGTGCCCTGAACAGCCCCATTATTCCAGTTGCAGATCACAAGCCTGATGGGAAGAGAGTCAGGATCCATGTTTTATTTCCATGGCTTGACATCAGCAGACATAGTTTTGGACCGTGACTGCGCTGGCGAGCTGGCAGCACGCACTGCCCTTTTTTCCTCTGGGGGAATGGCATTGTTAAGGGGTGAGGAAAGCTCCCCGTGCACGGCCAGCTCTGCCACGTGTCTACTACCAGATCACTCTAGCAGGTGAAGTGAAACAGCAAGTCTTGACAGCCAGGCTTCTCTTGCTCGCTTGTAAAGGGCCGTACCCAACGGAGGATGGAGACTACGCAGAGTCCAATCCATGCACTTCTTGCCCCTTCCCACCAAAGCCCCTTGGTAAAGTACTTGAAGCACTTCTGCCTCACTATCTTGTCCATGTTGCTTCTTGTTTGCCCTCTGCTTTCCCATCAGGCCCACACCCACTGCCTTTATGGATCCAAATTCCCCTCCTAGTCCAAGGACCAGATCCATGGAGCCTGCCTTCACTCATCTTCCCCTATACCTTACAGGCTGCAGAGGGCTAGGAGGAAGCCCCGAAGGCCACGTAACTGTGTGGCTCTGCTGCTTCAAGGGAGGGACACCACCCATGGGAAGATGGGCTCTTCCC